CACCGGTATGACGGAAACTAAGGCGGCAAGAGTGGAATAAAACACTGAGCAAAAGTCCAAGCCTTCCACCCTTTGCGAAGTATATAGATGCATTAATTACATATAAGAGATATTGTGGCATCCCAACATATCCATGTTCCAACATGGAACAACCTTCACTGCACCTGCAACTAGCAACGCTATAAGAGGGGTTGAGCAAAAGCGATAACATGGCCAAACAACGGTTGCTAGGAAGGTGGGTTAGAGGCTTGACATGGCAATATGGGAGGCTTGATAAACAAATGCTAGGTAGCGCGACATAACGGTAGAACGAACAACTAGCAAGCAAAGATAGAAGTGATATCGGGGGTAATGATCATCTTGCCTGAATTCTCCTCAGAGGGAACGAAAGCTTGCTCCTCGTAAACGTACTCGATAGGGTCCCCGTTCATGAATTCATCTCCTGGCTCTACCCAAAGCAAGAACACAAGCAACGAAACAACAATCAATCACGGTGCAACGCGCAAGCAACATGATGCAAGACATGGCATGGAATGCAAGATATGATATGCAATGCATATGGGTGCTCTGGAAGGGGAAAAGATGAACATGGCACTATCTTGGTAAACCAAGCATGCCACTAGATAGATTGGAGGATTTCGGTTGAAATCGAAATAAAGATCATGAGGAATGGATGCACACAACTCAAACGGTGAACAAAACAATAACAATGCAAATCTACGATTAACAACAACATGGCACATTGGATGCAACATAAAAATATGCTACAGCACCCAAACATGAAAACAAAAGGCATGGTAGTGAAGTACATATCAAGCACTACAAAACACTATTACTAAGCTACTACTAGAAACCACTAGAGCATGACTTAAACAACATGGCAAAAATGCAAATGCTAACAGTTTTACAGACTTGGTGAAAATACTGGACATGGAAGAAACATGGCAAGTGATATGAACATATTTCAGACTTAGTAGAATTTAATGGCATGGCAGAAACAGATTTATGATAGCATGTTTAACTCAATATAAAGCATATCATGGCATGAGATTAATTCTAGCATCAAGTAGGCATGATGAAGAGCATGTTCATGTGCAAAACTACCCCATAGCATATTTGCATAAATATACACATAAAAGACAAAACAACAACATGATGTAAAATGACATGTGTGCAAACTTGCTCAAATGCAGGAAATAATGCCACCACTAGATTGGTGGTATTTTTCTACCCCAAAACATATATAATATGTCTAGGTTGCATTAGAATGATCTCCACAATTACACAAATATGCAATCTGCCTAAAATGGCCATTACAGAAATGGCATTTTCCATATTTGGAAACGTCCAGAAATGGACTTGCCCGAAATGGAAAGATTCCTTTTCCCTGAAATGGGATATTCGCTTGGTTAAATAAAAAGAAAAAAGGGAACAGAAGGTTTTGTGGGAGTGACAAGTGGGACCTGATGGCAGAGAGCATGACTGGTGGGTCCTGACTGTTAGGGACTCATTAATCAAATACAAAGGGGAGGAGTTTAAGGGCTAGTTTTTGGAAGCCCGGCAGGCTAACGAAGATGCCTGACTACCAGGCCAGGCCACTACTATCTTTTCGAGGAACTGAACCAAACGCCTCCCAGGCAGACCACAGGCACGCTCCAGGCCAGGCTTGAAACAACGAGGACGCAAACCAAACTAACCCTAATTGCGGCCGCGGGGATCAAACCCGGGTCTCCCCGGTGCGGGTGTGCGGGGTCAACCGCTGGGCTACAGCGAGGTGGAGGACAGGAGGGGGGCCTCGTGCCACTTGTTCTAGCGTTGTCGGATGGCTGCTTCGACGAGGCCGAGGCGTCTACGGCAACACCAGCGACAGCAACAGCGACGGTCGGGCTCAGGGGGAAGCGGCGGGCGTGCAAAAACGGTTGGCGGCACCCATACGAGGGCGCGAGCAGTTTTGGAGCGGCGGGGCACTCGAGCTTGAGCATGGCTCGACTCGGGGCACGACAAGCAGCGGCGACGACGGCAATAGGGTACGGCGAGACGACGGCGAACCTGCGGAAGAAGGCGCGAGACCAGTGGGATGTCTACAGAGCCAACTGGTCTCGGGATCCGTGGGGTGCAGAGAGCAGACTACTGAACCTGAGAAAAATTCAATTAACGCTGGAGCGACAAGAGCACGACGCGAACCCGACCCTGGCGACGTCTATGGCGATCTACATGCGGCATGAGAAGAGGTAGGGGGAGCAGGTATACCTAGCTCACCCTAGGACACGACGACGATGACGGAGATGATCATGCGGCGACGCGGTCGAGCTCTGAACCCGACGCGGTTCCTGTCCAAGGAAGAAGGAAGCAGAGGACGAAGGGGACGGCGCCGAACTTGGTGTCCCTCGAGGCCGTAGGGGAAGTAGTCGACGTGGACGACAACGGCAGACTTGACGGATACGGGCATTGAAGCAAAGAACGACGGAGATCACGGCGGCGACATGGCAGCGCTCTCGGACGCGTTCGGGACGCAGTCGGGGCGGCGGATCTGGTGGCTAAACCTACCAGGCGACGACGACGGCAGATGAGGGAAACCCTAGGAGAGGGAGAGGACAAGGAGAGTGGGTTTAAAAGGGGCTAGGGCGGTGGGACGACGCGACGGTGCGCTCGGGCTCGCGGTCCCCATGGCGCTGCTAGAGCTAGACGAAAAGGTGGGTGAGGAGGAGTATGCAGACGCTGACGAGCGGGGCCGGCTGTGCCACATGGCGAAGGGCTAGCGGGGGTAGGTTCGGGCGCGGGTGAGAAATGGTGAGGCAGGCGCACAAGGCAGGCTGGGCCGGGGCGCCGGCTGAGCTGGGCCGGCCTACGAGGAAGAGGCCCAGGTAGGTTGTTGTTGTTGCTGCCCCTTTTCTTTCCATTTCCCTAGGATGGAAAACAAAACAGAAAAGCACAGGAACATAGGAGAGGTGTTTGAGAATAATAAAAATATCCTGAAGCTCCTGGAATCATGCTCTATTTAGTAAAATTGGTTTGGACATTTTAGAGGAAGAAAAATAAAACAAGTTTGAATTAGATTCAAACTTGAGGCATTTTTGACCCCAACCAAACCAAGTCCAAATGAGATGAAATTTTGCAGAGAGGTTTAAGGCAGGGTGCATGATTTATGAGGCAAATATGAACATTAATGGAGTAGGGTAGAGGTGCACTTGCAAAAATGGAAGAAAAGAGAAGGAGAGGTGGTGATGAGTGAAGGGGAAATGATGATGCTTAGATCCATAAGAACATGCCACAATGCCATATGCTACAATATGAAGATGCACATGATGATGAGGATATGCAAAATGACACCAAGCACAATGCAACATAGCAAGGAACATGAAGCACCACATGATAACAACAAGAATGAGCAAATACAATATGACAAGAAAAGGAAGGCAATGCAATATGAAACAAAGCAAAACCCAAAATGAAACCAACAAGGAGGAAACCACTTTGGATTGATCATGATAAGGTTGGATACATTGCCAAATATGGAAGTTTTACAACTGGGGTGTTACATGAGATCACAGAAAATCGCTTCCGACGGGAGTCGAACCCCGGTCTGCAAGGAAACATCATTGTGTCCTTGCCTAGCCCAGTTCTCGAAGAAAAGCTTGGTTTCATTTAGGTCATAATAGACTTACTAGAGTGCGAGACATCCTTTTCTTGGATCATGTATAGCTCCTACTGTGATGTGAATGGCTACACATTGTGGTTATTTTCCTCGAATTGGAAATGCAGATGTTAACCATGGGCTTGGCGTGTAGGGCCTTTTTGCTATGTGACGCCAACTTTTCAGCATGGCCCATGGTTTTGAGTCATATTTTTTAGTCCAACGTGGTATAACAAAGATACTGTGGCCAAAAAATAAATACCACTTTTATAGCATATTTTTTTGCAGGAATTTATAGCATATTTTTGGCCACAAGAAAATAAAAATTTGATCTCCATGCAAGTTTTGTTTTGTTGTTCGATTAGTTCTTTGTCCCCAAACAAAAAAGAATAGTGTCTTTTTGTCACCGCTGCATTTATTTTTCTTGTGTTGGGTATCTCAATTCCCTTCCTCCCATAATGTAAGACGTTTTTTAACACTAGTGTATTGTTAAAAAGTGCCTTATATTGTGGGACGGAGGGAGTATGTTTTACTGTTACGTTGGTCCACTAAATCTCATATAGAGTTGGAGTTGTCTCTGCACATTTTTCATATCAACTTTTATGTAGGAAATCAAAATAAAAAACGGAGAACTGGAAAATAAATAAAAAACCTGAAGGGAGAGAAAACGGCGCTTGATATATTGTTCATTTTTTTAACAACATTTTTCTTCGAGGGTTTTTTGAACAATGTTTTTCTAGGGTCTTTGAACAATATTTGAGGAGCATTGTACCCGCCGTGGTCTGTACCATGGGCTCCCACGAAAGCCCAGCAGGCCGAATAATAAGTACTGAGCCCTAAACCAAGTTCTCATCACAGATTCCCCCGCCGTGTGGTAGACACAGCGCCAGCCGCCAGGTTGGTTAGGGCAAATTTTGTTTAGTCCCACATCGCTCGTCCACAGCAGGAGGCACGACGAAGAGGCTATAAAAGGGACCAGCTGCTACCTCAATCCTCACTTACCTGGACGGGGTCAATGACCTATCAAGAAGGCTCATGGCCTAGGTTAGCAGCCTCCATTGCACTTCGGAGGAGTGCTGGCTTACCATCTCCCTAAGTGGGAGAATGGATGTCATAATTTGTGCTAGTAGGGTTACGCGTCCGCGCGGCCCTTGCCAATTTGAAGGTACAATTTCCAATGATCTTGCTTTCTTTCGGTTATATATCTTGGTTTCTTGGTAGCTTGAAGCCTTTGTCAAACATCAGTAAAAAAATCATGAACTTGTTTTCCTTTTGGCATTTACACATCGCAATTCAGTCTAGGTATTTCGTTTGATCACACTAGTAATGGCGGCTCAAGTGCGCGTCGACCTCATCGTGTATTCCGCTACAAGCTTTGAGAACAGAGAGGATTTGTCTTCCAGCAACCTGGCTGGCGTTTGGTGCTCCACAGCCATGCCTGTAAAATTTTGCCACTGTGTTCGTCAGTCCAGTTCATAAGTGTCACACCCAGATTGGGCAGATTAACAAGACGTAGCTTAAAGTTCATTTAAAGGAGTGGTGATATGGTAGCTGACCATTGTCAAGAAGCAAGACTATATCACTGTGAAGGACCGAGGTGATTCGATGCGCGATTGTGATGACGGTCGCCCCTGAGAAATGCTGCTGCAGTGTCTTCTGGATCAGGTTATCTGTTGCGGTGTCCACCGAAGCGGTGGCTTCGTCCAGGACCAGTATCTTGGTCCGTCTCAAGATCACCCTGCCGAGACAGACGAGCTGACGCTGGCCGACACTCCAGTTCTCTCCGTTCTCCACCACTGCGAGTGGACTTTTGAATTTCAGAAATTTCAGAAGAAGCTAGACTAGTGGAATGTGAACTGTATGGTTCAATATAGATCAGACCTGGCGAGTCAAGTTTGAGCTCCTTTCTCCGAACTTCATCTCCTAGCTGACAGTGATCCAAGGCCTGAAATGTTTATTTTTCAGTTTTTAAGTGAGTGGTTTTAGAGCGTGTAATAATTCGAGAAATGAAAGAAATGAAGCATGTGAACATCGAGACTACCTCCCAGATTTGATTGTCAGTGTACTCTCCTAGAGGGTCAAGGTTGTGTCTCACGGTTCCGTCGAACATCGTTGGGTCTTGCGGAATGATGCTCAATCTAGATCTCAGATCATGCAACCCGATGGTGCAAATGTTGACGCCGTCTACTGTTATCTGGCCGACAGTGGGATCCATGATACGGAAAAGGGCCTGTATGAGAGTTGATTTACCACTGCCTGTTCTACCAACAATACCTGTCTTCATGCCTCCAGGAAAAGTGACTGTAAGGCCCTTCAGAACAAACGGTAGTTGTGGAGCATATTTCACCTGCATCATTCTTAAAATGTTAAGGACCTGTGATGGCAAAGCACCCAATCTAACAATTACTTTGGCCATGAGTCTAGATTTCTGACAGTTTACTGACAAGGGCAAAAAATGTACTCCCTCCGTCCGAAAAAACTTGTCCCTCAAATGAATGTATCTAGCACCAAGTTAGTGCTAGACACATCCATTTGAGGGACAAGCTTGGGACAAGCTTTTCCGGACGGAAGTAGTGTATTACTTACATGGAGGTTATGGAGCTGAATTTCTCCCTCTGACGGCCAGTTATGGGCCAACCCATCTTCAGACATCAAAAGAGGGGCCTCTTCAGGAAGGCTTAGGTATTGCAAAATTCTCTCTACTGAGATGATCTTGTTCTCCAAATTGCACATGCTTGTTACAAGCGTTACTTGCATTATGTTCAGATTAAGCCCATATGTGACTACAAGGCCAGCAATTCCTGGACGTCGGATGGAATTTCAGTTGCAAACTCAGATCGTTTCTCCCACCATTTTGTTCAGTACAAAATGTGTTTGAAACCTTTTACTATTTTTTTTGGTTAATACCGGTGTAAATTCCCCCTATCTTCAAATGAAATATAGCTTCCAGGCTGTTATTTCAAAACAAAAAATGCTGGGAACTAGCATCATACCTGGATCAATGATACCGGTCGGCAGATTGATTAAAAATATTAAAGAGATGGCAAATGTAAGGGATGATAGCATATCCATGCGGAAGCAAAGCCATTCCATTGCTCCAGCATTGTAGAATTTTTGTCGTGAGTAGGCATCCATTAGCTGGTTATTAGTTGCTAAAAACTGATTTTCCTTGCCAAAACTTCTAATGATTGCTGATCCTGTTATTGATTCTACAAAATGTTGTATGATAGGAGCTTTGCAAATCCCGACCATCCTTTGCAACTCTCTGGCTGTATCAATGTAGTAGCGCTGCAAAACGATAAATATAAGCGAAAATTCCATTTACCACTGAATAAGACCATAATTCCATTTACCACCGAATAAGACCAAAATTATGCACAGAAATTTGTGCAAAAAATATTTTCAAATTTGTTCAAAGTTTGTACAAAAGTTCTGCTGAGTTTCAACGTCAACTTTGGCGCCAAGGACATGGTGTACATAGGCCAACTAATGTCTATTTAGCATGCATAGAAAGAATCACATTACAGGTGAAAAACAGTCTTTACACACCTAAGGGCAATAGGATACATCGAATCGAAACGAAATAGTGATATTCAGTGGTACTGAAGAATATTTCTCTCTATATAATTATATGTTGATCTTGCGGCTAATACAGCGAAGGATAACGAGTAGGATAAAGTACCTGATACCAGAGGCAGATAGCAATTACAGGAATGAAAACAACAAAGACCTGCCATGCAACCTGAGACATCACAACAATAGTTCCACCAAGTTGTATGAAGGCAAACGCAATAGAACCCATCCTGTTAGCAATGCTGGTGTCCACCAGGCTTTGATCAGTCGAAGCCTAAAAAAACAAGTTCTTGTATTAACATGCTTGAAGCAAATAAACTGAACTTTCCTAGGATTTGTTTTTGAGAATGACTTACCCTATTCAAGATGCGCCCACTTGGAGTGGAATCAAAGAAAGACATCGGAGCTCTGAATATGGATACATGCATCTTGTTAAACAACAGAGTTGCTGTCTTGTATGCGGCTGGCACAAGAAACAGGGCTCTCACGAAGGTGCACACCGAGCTTCCTAGGGCCAATGCCACATAGACGTATATCAGTGTGTACATGCTCACTGGAGGCTCGACGTCCTTCGACGCAGGAGCAGCCCAGGCCATCCAGTAATTGCTAGCAATGTGAAGCACTTCAAAAAGTATCTGCGCGAGCAGCACGAATGGCACAAGAGCTCCCCCATAAGCTAAGGTGAGGTACTTCCAGTAGACCCAAAACCCCACCCTACCTCTCTCCCTTTCTTCTTCCTGCACCAGCTGCCCACTCTGATCATGGCCATCATCTTGTTTGACATTTTGCTTATCCTTTTTCTCAGCTGATGTCAGTGACCCGGACAGACTTGCTGCGCCACCAGATGAGAAAGCCTCACTGGCTCCAATTGGAACATCGATTGTGTCGATTGTTGCAAGAGCATCCTGGTGAGCACCGACCAGTTCCATAAACTCTTCCCCTGAGCCAAGTATTTCGTTGTATCTGCCAGATTGTGCTATTATGCCGTCTTTAATTACCTACAATACAGTTACTTTATAAGAGAAGCACTTCATGGCAATAAATATCACATGAAGATATTTCAAAAAGAAACATGCACGAATTATTTGCTCATGAAAAACTCACCAGAATAAGATCAGCTGCAGGTAAAAATTCAAGCTGATGAGTGACGTACACCACTGTTTTTTGAGCCAATGCCCCAAGCAAGCATTCCTACAGAACACAGAAGAAACCTTAACAAATGTGTCTGTCAAATTCCTGTGGAGCAGCAAACAGAAGGTAGTACCATTGTACCTTGAATATGTGGGATCCTGTATGAGCATCGACAGCACTGAAGGGGTCGTCGAACAAATAAATGTCGGCGTCCTGATACAGAGCCCGTGCTATCTGAACTCTCTGCTTCTGCCCACCGCTGAGGTTGATGCCTCGCTCTCCAATGAACGTCTGGTCGCCCGACGGGAAGCTCTCCAGGTCTTTCTTCAGCGAACACAGCTCTAGCACGCTGTCATACTTCTCACTGTCCATCTGCTTGCCAAACAATATGTTCTCCTGAACCTTGCCGCTCTGTATCCACGCTGACTGGCTCACATAGGCTATTGTACCGCAAGTCCTGACCACTCCTGATAGCTTCGGAACCTCGCCAAGAATGCAAGAGAGCAGGCTCGATTTTCCGGAGCCGACCGTGCCGCAGACTGCTACACGCGTGCCCTGCCGAGCTTGAAAGTTGAGGTCCTTGAGCGTTGGCATTTCAGGCGAGGCATCCCAGGAGAAGCACCCGTTGCTGACCTCGATTGCAACATCTGAGCTGCCGATCGGCAGCTTCTGCACAGCGTCCGTCGGGAACTCCTCGAGGCATAGGAAGGATGCTATCCTGTCAAGAGACACCTTGGTCTGGATGATGGCCGAGATCCTGTCCGGAAGGTTGTATATCGATTCCTGCAGCACCCGGAGTGTGGCCAATGCAGACAGCACCTTGCCCGACTCCAATGGTATCCCCATGAGGACGCATGCTCCGAAGGTGACCACGGCGATGAATGTAGGGGCACTCCAGAAGATGAAGGTGATCATGGTCGAGGTGTACAGGTACTTCTTGAGCCAGTTTGTTTCTGTCTTCCTGAGGGCGATGATCTTGGACAAGAACTTCATCTCCCACCCCTGCAGCTTGAGAATCCTCATGTTGCGTAGGATCTCGGACGTCGCCTTCATCCGAACGTCCTTGCTCCTCATCAGATTCTGCTGGAGTTTCTCCTGGACTTTCACCGAAGGAACGTTGACAAGCATGACGGCCGCGGTGGCGCCGAGCGCGGCGAGCGAGGCAAGCCCGAGAGTGGAGTAGAGGACGAACATCGCCATGCTTACTTGGAGCGGTACCAGCCACAGGTCGTGGATGTACCAGGAGGAGTTCCCGACGCGGTCGGCGTCGACGCCGACGATGTTGACCATCTCGCCGCTCGAGTGGGTCTGCCTGGAACGGCCGGAGAGGGCCAGCCCTTTCTCGTACACGACGGCGACGAGTGCGGAGCGCGCTCGTATCCCGACCTGCTGCAGCCGGAAGCACGAGTGCTGCTGCGACAAACACTCGAACACCTTGGCTGCGATGAAGGCGAGGACAAGGAGCTGCCCCTTCCTCGCGTGCCTCTCGTCGCCGCCGTTGAGGTACCGCACGAGGGAGTCGATGAGGTACGGGCCGACGTAGGTGGCCACGTTGTAGACCAGCGCGTAGAGCGCGGTCACCGCGACGTGCCAGCGGAAGGTGCGCACCAGCACCTTGGCGAGCTTGAACGCCGTCACCCTTTGGCTCGTGGTGCCGTCGCCGGCCAGCGTCTCGAGGTTGGCCTTGAACGAGGGGAGCAGGCCGGCCACGCTATCGCCGGGGTCGAGGCCCGGGACGTCGTCGAGGCCGAGGGCCTTCTTGTGGCCCACGGCGAGAAGCGGCCCCATCCAGGAGAAGGTGAGGACGCCGAGGAGGCCGGCGCCGGCGTACGCGGAGGCATAGGCGCTGCTGCTCTCGCTCGCGCCATCTAGCAGGGGCTCCTCTGAAGGAGACCCGCCTGCTTCGCTCTTGCCAGAAAGGCCAGCGACGAGCAGCACCACGGCCGCGAGGACCGAGACGGCGTCGAGCGCCCACGAACGCGCTGGCACGGGGAGCCCGTCGAGGCTCGTCGCGACGTGCACAGCGACGGCGACGACCGAGAGCAGCAGGAAGAGCGCCCACCAGAGCCTGAGCGGCGCGGGGAACCGCTCCTCGCGGCGGAACTCGAACTGCAGGTACGCCGCGAGCAGCAGCCACGCCACCGCGCGTGTGGCGGCATCCGCCTGGTCCACCACCGCGTCGAGCGGCCACCCGGCGCCGGCGTCCAGGTAGCAGGAGTACGCGGCAAGGAGGAGCTGGAATAAAGCCAGAGCCCACGTGGCGCAGACCACCACCGCGTAGCACCGGAACCCGCCCACGGCGACGGCCGTGTCCTTCCCGCGGCGGGGGAAGAGCCGGCTCCCAGCAACGGCGAGCGCGAGGATGAGGTGGGCCCCGGCGCTGGCGCCGTGGAGGAAGAGGCAGGGCAGTGATCGCTCGCTCGCCGCCATCGCTGCCGCTAGAGACGCGGAGCTCGATCAGCGGCTGGTGTGCGGGCGGGGAGACTAGCAGGTCAGTCGCTCGCATCGCCTCTGGGCCTCGTGACGGCGCGGCACCTTGAGATGCAAGGCGACGCCGTCCACTCCACGTTTCATGCCGCCGGACTGCGACGGCGGAGGGGGGACTCGGGTTGGTGTGCCACGGCCAAGTTGGAGCGGACTGATCACCACTCGCCAGTAGTGTGTTGGCGGGGCCAAGTCCTTGGTCAATTCTTGATTTGGGTTGAATGTTCTCTCGTCGGTTGCTCTGATTGTTTTTGTTCCTGTACGTTCCTCGATGGTTCACTATGGAAAGACCTCAAAAGGTAGAGACAAAGTTGGCAATGGAATAGCATGACCGCCATACTGGATACTGCCTTGTTGGAAATGGCGTCGCCACACTGAGCACCGATGGAATGGAATGTGCGTGCACACGTCTCATCGACTCATGGTGCGGTAGAAAGTTAGCGTGATTTCATTGCATGACCGCATGGTCCTCGTCGTCTTTCACTTTCATAGCACGTGCATGCACGGCGAGGAATTTCCAAGAAGTTCTGTCAGTCAATACAAGTTCTGGATTCTACATACTCTGTCAGTCATACGGGCCATGTGCATTTGTCGATCGAGTTGCTAATTGATCGGGTCTTCTTAGGGCAACTATTTCATCAAATCGTTCCTACACGTCTGGACAGGATTGTTCGGACAGTTTCTGCCCTCCAGCGTCGGTCATCAGAATGTGCCCCGACCTGTCTGGATGTTCGAACACAAACCGGAACCAAACATAAAAATACCGAAGTACATAAACGAGAAAAAAAAAGTATATAACCTATAACAATGGCAACTTAGTATTGTGATCAAAGAGTTGCTTCACAAAGATATCGGGTTTTATAGCGTACTGTGAAGCAAGGGGAATTATGTACGGGAATGAAATATTTGCTTAATAAAGATCTTTGTTTAACATGGGTGTTCAGACCCGTTGTTATTATTGACCAAAAGTTGTTCTAAGTAATGTCCATAAATTGCCAAACCTGTAGGGTCACATGCTTAATGGTTATTGGTTTGGTAGAGTACTGGGAGATCATAGGAGAATGAGAGAAAGGACCGAAAGTGTTTCAGATGTTTCCGAAAATGTTATGCGAGGTTTCCGGAATTTATTGGTGATGTCGGGAGTGCCCCGGAGTTGCACGGGCGGGTCTCGGGAGGATCCGGAGGTCTTGGAAGGATCCCCCTCCCTTCGATGCACAAGCCCTAAGGGGGGCTGCCCCTCCAAGCCACATCTATAAATAGATGGGAGGGGCGTCCCCAAAGGAAACAAGCCCCAAGGTTGACGCCCCCTCCCCTTGCGCCATCTCTCTCTGTCTCTCTCTCTGTCTCTCTCTCTCTGTGTGTGCGCGCGCGCGCGCGCGACAAAGTGCCGTCGAATCCGAATTGCTAATACAATACGCATGGATACCGCAGAGGGGTCGTATGTTTAACTATCACGACAAGGAGTTAATACCCAGCTGCCGGAATATGCAAATCTTCATCTCCTATGCGTTCTTGTTGGTGAGATTTATCTATCCATGCATCTTCATAGTTCATAGTGTTCGCGGGTGTGTTTGTACATACGGAAATCTTTTTTTATTTCGTGGTACGTTACCCAATAACCACTTTCCTCTCCTTCTGCCCAGGTCGTTGGTCGTGGATGGTGTCGTCCTCGCTGCGGTGCGACTCGTGCTCCCCTAGTTCTTGCTCATTCACCCGTCGGTCCTCCTTCTTTGACCAGGGTGGCCGTCGATCTCATGGCGTCGGCTAGGGTCTCGTTGCTCGGTGACATCGTGCTTACACTCATGCTAGTGGTGCCGGCTCATGGCTGATGGTGGACTTGTCCCTGTGGCACTTGTGGTCATTATCTTGGTAGCACGTACGTGTCGCGTTGTTGCTAGCTGTTGTTCATGCCTTCGCATGCCTTCGCAGTGGATGTTTGTCTAGTTGTTACCTTGTGTGGCACTCTTGTTCCATTCTAGGTCGGGTATGTTGGTCTACTAGCCGCGGATCATCGATTCTTGGGTTGACGATCCTTAGGTCGTTTGGTTCTCTAGATGAGGTCATGCCTCTAAGATGATGTTATGGTTCATGCCTATCTTGGGTTGTAAACAAGTTTTTTTTCATAGTATTTTCTTAGAATTTCTCTAATGTGATATTTGTAAGTAGTAAATGCATGTGTACAAGTAATCCAAGGGAAACCATGATAAGGGTTGTACATGAATTGTTAAAATTTCATTTTTCAATGTGAATGGAACGGGGCGAAAAACCTTTTGCTTAAGAAAGAGAAAATACTTGCAGTGTATATACATCACATTGGTTGCAATCAGGGGTTAAAATTCAATTTATTGGCTATCAATAATTTAAACCAAAATAGAAATCCAACTGAATGGTTCATATTCTAACACACCTCTTCAACTTATTTCCAGCTGCGGAATAGCAAACAGTCTAACACATCACTCAAGTTGGTTACTATACACCAACCAGAAGAGCACTTAGTCGCAATAAGAAAAAATACCAAAAGACCACTTTATTACTTGACATAATCCATCTTCCAGTTATTATCTTTGCCAACTATTCCTTGAAAACTATCTCTATGGATGAGGAGAAACTATAAGTGAGTTGCTGCCTAATCCATTCCTTGCTGGCTTCATCCGAGGGAAATTTTGACCCCAAATTTAAAGCATTACACTTACTGCATTGCCTTTTATCATGCAACTCAATTCTCTTCAAACCCACAGCTCGTTCCATGACGAGCCTTATATAATTCATTACCATGTCTTCCTCCTCAAACCCTTGTATCACCAGCAGCTTTAAGTTCAAGTGCTTGAAATTGAATGTTTGCCATACCAAGTTGGTCCTCTCAGCACTGTCCTCAGACTTGTTGAGTTCACATGGATGCCGAGATGACTACATGGAGTCAAAAGTGTAAAGAAAATTAGTAGACACACATTGCATTCGAAATGGGCATCAACATCAATATTAATATTCAAAATGTTAGCAAGAGGAGTTAAAGACTTGCTTAAAAAAAGCGAGAGAGCTAAGACTTACAAGTAAATGTGTTCTTGCTAAAATGGTTAGATCCTTTTTGAAGTGTACTCCCTCCGTCCATAATGTAAGACGTTTTTTGAAACTAATGACACTACTAGTGTCCAAAAAGTCTTACATTATGGGACGGAGGGAGTAGATTTTTGGAAAAAATTGCACAACTAAAATCATATTGGATAATTTCCTATAGTCTTTCAAACAAATAAATGAACATGTATCATTCGCATGAAATTGGTAAATTACAACACAGGTCATATAAACTTCGGAGAAGTTCCACAACACAAGGTTAGACCTCATGCCATCGGCCTAGATACGGCTAGGTGGATCCAACTGGGGTTCTTGGAAATCCTGAGTGTGCGAGGGCCTGGGCTCTTCTCACTGTAACTATTGTTTTGTCGATTCTTCTTAATGCCTATGCAATTCATGTGTTTTCCATATTCATACATCCCATAGAGGCTTGTATGTACCACTTTTACTAACTCAAATGCAATGTATTTAGCGAGTGATAGAATATTATCTGAAAACATGGCATACTCCTTCCATGTCAAAATATAGTGTATATTAGCTTGTCCTAAGTCAAACTTTGCAATGTTTGACCAAGTTTATAGCAAAAAAATATGAAAATTTAGAATATCAGATAATTATAATATTGAAATGCATTTTATGATGGATTTGATGATGTTGATCTGGTATTGTAAATATTAAGAATTTTTTCTATATACTTGGTCAAAGTTTACAAAACTTGACTTAGAGCAACACGTACATCCACCTATATGAACCCACACACGCGCCTATCCCTGTGAGCATCTTCAAAAGACTGAGACGGGAAATCTTCCAAAAAAAGTCAGCACAAACGCCTCGTAGTCAGTGGGAACGTTGTCTCCCATTGAACGAACATCACCAGAAAGACCAGAATAAATCCCGAAAAATGCGAGGACCCTTGTCAGGACTTGAACCCGGGACAAGGAACCTCACCATCTGAGCTACGCTCGGTTCACAATATGCACTATATTTTGACATGGAGGGAATACAAATATCCAGTCTAAGATGAGGATTAAAAGAACCAAAGTAAGAGGCTTACATAAAACTTCTCCAGGGAAGGTGCGGCTTCAAGGATAAAAAGAATCCAACTCAGATCGCACTCAGCAAAAATATTGCAAAGATCCACATCTCTCAATTTGCCGAATATAGGAGAGAGCTGCTCTGGATTTTCAGGTTTAACCCAAATCTGCAGAAACAAGAATAAAAACGTGCAGCAATTAGCATATATAACCAAACATATAAAAAATATGTAGATGTGGAAGAAGAAGCTCACCATCTGAGTTCGAAAATTTAATGCAGTTTCGACAGATTTCTGTTGCTACTAGAAATACACTCGCTTAACGTGAATGGTGCCTGCCCATCCAGAGCAGGAGAGGCAAAGCTTAGGTGTTGAAGCTGAGGTACGTAGCCAAAAGACACAGGGGGGGTTTCACCGTACCATGTATCGTACACCACACGCCACAGTTTGGGGAGACAGATTAGCTCAACTCGTATGCATCCAAAGCAGATAAGCTCGAGCGCCTGCAGCTCCGAGCAGGGGGCATCTATCCTGAGGATAGAGTCTGGGCCCAATCCACACGCTTTCAGGGAAAGGAGCTTCAGTTTATTGCAAGTGCTGAGAAGATTGGGGAGATCCGAGTCTTGAAACTCAAGGTCCTTGAGCGTTAGCTTTGTGAGCAATTTGAACGGACCGAGGCTAGCATGGAAGAACGACATAAACCGCTGCCCGAACAAGACTAATTGGGCATCACTTGGATTATCTACCTCAGCATATATTGCGAACTCAAGGTGTTCAGTTATGCCACTCTTCACGACGTCACCAACCGCATGGCCAATAGAGGATATGTAAGGCTCTGTTAGGTAGAAGCTGAGCTGCAGGGTCTTGATGGTACGACGACATTTGCACGTCAGAGGAGACAGCAATTTCAATGTCGCGTCAGTGTAGGTGGCCATTACCTGATCCACCGTGCGCTTGGAGTTGCGAAAGTCGCCCACGTTCATGAGCAGACGAGAGCGCTGATGAAGGAGGTGCCTCCATTGTCTAGAGACTGCGCTGGCCTGAATCGCCATGCGCATATCAAGGTATCCATAGATCTGGATGTTGATTATATTGATTATTAGGAAAGATTAGATAGACTAGGATTAGTTCCGGCTTGTCTTTACTCCAAGTTGATCATTGTACTTCTATATATATATATGCCCACAAGGCTCAAGCAATACAACAGACTATTTCACCAATTCCCTCTCTCCCTTCTAACATGGTATCTATCGCAAGTCGATCCTAAACCCTAGCGTGCCGCATCTGCACCTGCGCGCCACCCCCGGGGCGGTCGGCCTCCATGACCGCCGCCGGGGGCCGCGCCACCCGTACCTAGGGTTCGTCCGCCGGTCGTGTTGACCGGTTGCCCTAGAGAGTCTTTTTCCTGAGCCTTGCTTCGGGGTTTTCTCTCTCCCGCCGGTAATCTTGATCGCGCGGTTTTTTTTAGTTTTCCGATCTATTCTTGATCGGTTTGCATCGCCCACCGCCGCCGTCGACCCCGAGCGCCTCTACTCCGACCCCGGCGCGACCAGCCGGCCTCTGCTCCGACCCGGCGGCCACGCGCGCCGAGGCGGTCCGTCAGGGCCAGCCGTCGTCTGCGCGTCGGTCCGCCCGTCGCCCTGCGCCGGCCGTCACCGCCCTGCTCCGACCGGGAAACCTGCATCGCTCCGACCCGGCGGCTTCGCGCCATGCGATGGCCAATCATATCCGTCGCTCGCGCACCGGCCCGCCGATCGATCCACGTCACCCGCCTCCGCCGCGTCTGCACGGCGGCTCGGCGGTCTACCTCGCCGGCCTCGTCCTCGGCTGTCAGGCTCATCGGCTGCCTCAAACTCAGGCGCGCTACTCCGTTGGTCGCTCGGGCCTCGCTGCCCGGGCGCCGGTGCTGCTTTGGCAACCCGGGTGCCGGTGCTGACGTCCCACGCCGTCCGTCGTCGCCGGCCTCATCCAGGACTCCGCCGTCACCACGCCTCCATCGAGCGGCGTCCCCGTCCTCGCGCGCGATCGACTTGATCACCCGCTTGCCGCCGCGATCCGCCTCATCTACGCCGCGCGACCAACCTGGCCCGTCAGTTGTGTGCGCCTCCGCAAGTCCCGTGAAGATTGTCCCGAGTTCAGCGCGCCCCTCCACAGATCGAGCAACGGGCTGCCGCTGGGCCGCAGCGCCACCGCCCCGTGGTTCTCCTCCCGGCTGCACCGACCCGCGTCACCGTTGCGTCGCCCTTTCGGGCTGTAGTGTCGCGGCTCGCGATCCACCGCCGCCCCGGTGCCGTTCGCTCCAGGCCGTCCCCATGGCTGCACCGACCCTCGCGCCGCCGCTGCGTCGCCACATCGGGCCGTAGCGAGCGTGGACGCGGTCCACGCCGCCGTCCCGAGGCCGTCCCCGAGGTTGCACCGACCCGCGCTCCGCCGTCGCGCCGCCCCTTCGGGCTATCGCGCCGCGGCCCGCGGTCCCCACCGCCGCCCCGAGGTCTTCCTGCCGTCGCCCGGACCTGCCCGCCGCCGCTTCGTCGCCCCTACGGGCCGTAGCGCCGCGGCCCGCGGTCCACTCCGCCGTCACCGCGCGTCGACCTCCCGTGGTATGCGCTGCGCCGTCTCCCTTGGCGCGGGAACGCGACCGTCCGCGCCGGTCTTCGTCACGCTGTCGGGTTCTTCGCCTACTTCGACCATCGTCGCCGCACTCCTAACCTAGCCGCCGCCGCTACCCCCGAAGCCGCCGTAGCCGCCCGTCCACCTCCTTCATCTTCGTCCAGCACCAGCCCGTCACCAGCGTCGCCGTCATCTACCCCGACCGCTTCATCTACTCCGACAACCGCGGGCGACATTGGCCCCGTGCCGATTGGCGCTGCAACCGTCGTCGAGTCCTTCTCTGCTGGCCTCTCTGACTTCTTCGACAAGGCTTACAGCTTGTGCAGGTCCAGTCTACACATGCCCGGTGCTGGCAACACCGCCGCGTGCCTTCGTCCACGACGTGTCCCCGGGCCCGGCAAGCCTGGTGCGACGCTTCGTCAACTTCGTCATCGTCCGTCTACGCATGCCCGGTGCTGGCAACATCGACACGTGCCTTCATCTACGATGTGTCCCCGGGGTTGGCAACCCCGGCGCGACGCGTCGTCAACATCATCTACTTCCTGGCGCACCACTACTTCGACACCACTGCGCCCACGACTAACTCGGCGCCTTCTTGCGCCCGCGGCTCCACGGCGATTTTCTCGACACCGGTTACCTCGACTCGACATCGACCACGGCATTCTTCGCACGGCTACCTCGACCACGGCTCCACCACCCACGCTGTCGGCTACATCGACAAACGGCACAAAGGGCTACCGCCTGCTTGAGCAACCTCGCTGGTTTTCACTCCAGCCACAACTCCGCGATGCATCGACCGTTACACTGTAGGGGGGTGTCCGTCGGCTTGCCTTCGGATTCTTCTCCAGTCTCACCGTCTGCGTCGCTCCCGTTGTGACTGCGGGGGATATTGAGTATATTGATTATTATGAAAGACTAGATAGACTAGGATTAGTTTTCGCTTGTCTTGTACTTCAAGTTGATTATTGTACTCCTATATATATGCCCACGAGGCTCAAGCAATACAACATACTATTCCACCAATTCCCTCTCTTCCTTCTAACACTGGAGAAAAATGTCGTTGGGGAGAGCACCGATTCTATCTTCATCTTCGTTCGCACAAACTCGACCTTCATCTTTGCTATGCAAAGCAGTTAACTGAAAAAAATGAGGAAAAAGGTTACAACGTGAGGGTGAGGTAACAACGAAAATTCCGGAAGGATGTAATAAGCTTACAATGTTGCGAGGTGACTCCATGATTGGACCCCGCAAAAGATTGATCTTGGTGATAAAGAAACTAATACAGTTGTGAGCTACTAGTACTCCCTTCGTTCCAAAATTCTTGTCTTAGATTTGTCTAGATATGGATGTATCTAATACTAAAGCGTGACTTGATACATCCGTATTTAGATAAATCTAAGACAAGAATTTTGGGACGGAAGGAGTACTTATTATTGAGAGAGGCCAGAAGAGACCGAGTTGGAGTGGACGAACCGCCCAAACTTACCTTAGGGGTTGTTTGGTTACGTAGATTATAGAGAACTAGTTTCCTTCAAACTCAATTTCAGTTGTAACAACCAAAAATCTTGTTTGGATTGTCTAACAGAATCGTGGATATGCAAAACTAAGTTTATGAAAAGCCCAAAAACCGAGTTTATGGAAAAAGGACTAATCGACGTTTTTCTATATACTCGTTTTGGCTGAACACAGAGTCGGCCACGAGCACTGCGACGTTCTCCCAGGTACAACCATGGCGACACTGAAAGTCCACTGGAGGGTGAAACGTTCTATGCCAAGACATCAATGAAGCGCTCGCACCACTGGCAAGCTCGCCGCTAGGGGTCCGGACGTGGCCGCCGTCGTGTTGGGACGGCGAGATGGGAGCGGCCGCCGAGGGCAGGGTGAGCATGGCCGACAAACTCCTCTTCCTGTACACCGGCGACGGCTACAACCTGATCTCTCCGGTCGCTGCACTCCAGGCGGAGGTTCATGGGAACTAACTACTGAGTATAAGTTAATCAACCAGTAAGGAAGTAATTCAACAAGCACTTGAACGGAGATGTAGTTGAAGGCCCATTCCAATCCTCCTTTTTGTGAAATTTGTAGCAACAACAGAGCTCAGTAGAGCAGTGAATGCAACGACGTCACACCAACTGCACTGCTCTCCGCCCTGACATAGCAGGGTGTGCATCCCGTCGCCGGGTGGTAGTGCCTCTGCACCCTAGACCCTAGTTCCTCTCCGGCTGCGGTTGAGGCGGGGTCGCGCGGCAAGCCGCCTGTTGCACGCCCTGCGTAGCCGACTAGCCCGCCACTTGGTTCGCTTTGTCCTCGACAACGCCGTTGTCGTGTGGTTCGCTTGGTCCATGGCGACGCCGTCCTCGAGGAATTGGCCGAAGAAGAGAGACTAATCGTGTTTTCTTTTTGTTTTCTATCCAAACAAAGAATTGTATACACTCACCTTAACAGAAAAACTAACTAAAACTGGTTTTCCTAAAAATCCTCTGAAAATTGTTTTTCTAAAAACTCACGTCTAATTCTTGGCATCCAAACGACCACTTAGCGAACAAACAGCATCCTGACCGCTCGGATGAAATCTAAGAGATGAACTCCGCCCCGAAAATAGGGGAGGGAAACGGAAGAAAACGTATCCAGCGGATCCCCGATCTGCCTCCTCCGATAATCGGGGTCCCCAATACAGAGTTCGGTCTCCCGTACCGAGATGGATCCGGAGGCGTCTTGATCCGTGCCACTGGGGCAACGGACACCTCCGGAAGGTTCACTCGCGCCACCCCGAGGCAGCAGGAGGATGCCTTCGGCGAGCACGAGGAGCGGCGGAGCCTTTGCTGGGTGCGGCGCAGGGAGCTCGCGCTTGGCCGGTGCAAGGAGGTGAAGACGTGGAGAGGCCACGCTGATGTACGGGCCGGGCGGCAGGTGCAGGGGTGGCCGGAGCTTGGCAGGGGGGAGGCGCGAGGAGCAGCGGATGGAAGAAATTAGGGAGCCGGCGCTGGAGGTGGAGAGGTTATGCGGCGAAGAAACAGAGGAAGTGGATCGTGGTGAGATTGGAAAAGATAGATTTAAGTGGCGCCCTGCGTGCTGTTGTAGCTGCGAAATTAACTGTTGTACTGCAGCTGCGAAACAGATGCAAATCAGCGCTTAAACCCTTTGTCAATCGATTCGGAACGGTAGAAATCTCTATTACGAACATGTTCCAGTCACGCAGCGTTGACCAATCCGTCTCAAATCGGTCCCAAAACACACCGATACTAAGCCAAATCCTAATGCGACGCGGATGTAATATCAGCGGTTAAACCCTTCGTCAATCACTTCGAACTGATAGAAATCTCTAAGACCAACACATAGCAGTCGCATGGGGTGGAAACATTGCAGGCTATAAGATCAAACAGCCTCAAATCGGTGCCACAATCCGCGCATCCTGAAGCCAAACCTGCGCAAATTTACGCCTAGCCAA